AAAGAAGGCTAAGCCCCCTAGGTCAATTGACCCTACGCGAACGCGAAGCCAATGCTGCGAACGCGATGAAAGGAAACTGGGAAGCTTCGCGAACGCGAAGGATGCGTCGCGAACACGAAGAAGGAATGACCTGCAACTGCTGAAGCCAAAATCTGCAATCTTTCTAAGTTTGAAACCACTCTGAAACACTCCCGATCCCTCGGGGCTACTAGCCAAACACATGCACCAACTCAACAACATTCTACGAACTTAACCGTGCGATCAAATAGCCAAAATAACATCAAAAACAACCAATCAAACCTCAAAATCACTAGTTTTTCTTCAAACTTCATAAACTTTCAAATTTAGAGTTTTAAGTCCGAAACACGTCTAACGACGTCCAATTTCAACCAAACTTCACAGAAATATCTTAAACCACATATAAGACATGTACCAGAGCCGAAACTAAAATACGGGGCCGATACCAACACGTTCTAACCAATTTTTATTTCAATTTTCTTTATAAATTTCAGAAAAATAATTTTACTCAAAAATTCATTTCTCGGGCTTGGGATCCCGGAATTCGATTCCGGGCATACTCCCAAGTCCCATATTTTCCTACGGACCCTCCGGGACCGTCAAATTACGGGTCCGAGTCCGTTTACCCAAAATGTTGATCGGAGTCAAATTTACTCATTTTAATATCAAATTTTAGCATTTTTCACAGAATTTCATATTTAAGCTTTCCGTCTATACGCACGGCTGCGCACTCACATCGAAGCGACTAAAAATGAGGTTTTCAAGGCCTCGGAAGCACAGAATGGGTAAGAAAACAGGTGATGACCCCTTTGGGTCGTCACACTGTTGTATTTTGTATACCCCAGCTGGCATTATGTAATGAAAAAATATCAATGTTTTGAAAATTTCTGTAACTAGAGAATTGGAGTATGATCATAAGGAGCACCATTGACGAAAACACCCGTACTTCATGTACCATAGGTCGTCTGATGACTGATTTTTCAGCAAGATGTTTGGCATTGCACTATGCTCTACTTCTTTTGTCTGGCTTTTATCTAGTCTCGAGAGAGAGATGAGTTACTGTCTTATTTGTTTTTAAACATATCTGAGCAAAAAATGTGAAAATGTCATTAGACGAGCCGAAGCAAAAAAGATCAATCTCGTCAGTCAAACCTTATCAGTTGACAGTAATGTTTGTTGATATTTATTTTGGTTCCTGCTTTTGTTAATCTCCTGAAATCTCTTGTACTGAAATTGGCTTATCATCCAACTAGGTTCGGTTTGGTATTAATCCAAAAAGTAAAAGTAGTACTTGATCTGAATCCAAACCAAACTGATAACATGTATACCATTTTTAATTTTAACACATAAAATATTTATGATAATTTTAACACATAAAATATTTATGATAATAACATACCTACTATGTACACAAACCTTAATTACATCTATATTATATTAAAAGGAAGCATATGGTTAAGCCAAGTGATGTATTTAGAAAATGTCACTTGGCACTTTTAAATATAATCTAAATAGATTTTGAACAAAATCTAATAAGAATCGGATAAAATCTAATAAGAAATATCAACAAATATTTTGAATTAATACCTATATTCCATACCCATAAATGGTGCATTTCATCAATCAACACTAAATCATACCAATCAAATGTAATCTAACGTTAAATGTAAAGTAAGATTTTGTTACTAATTGATCTAATGTTTTTCTCATTTTAATAAAACATGAAAAGAAAAGAATCAATAAATTTAGAGTAATAGTTACTAATTTCAAAATTAAGTTAAAGAAAAAATGTAATCAATTAGTGAATATTTTAACTTTTAAATTTTTCAAATTTTTTGGGTCAAGCATGCGATTTTGTTACTAATTGCTCTAAATGTTTTGCCTATGTTAACAAAAACACACACACACAAAAAAAAAAAAATCAATATGACATTGCTGTTTATACGTTGAACGAAGTAAAAATCAAATCTTAGCTTTAAATATGACATTACTTTCATTAAAGGTAGATTATTAAATATGAAAAACCAATTAAAATATCATGTAGAAAAATAAAATACAAACAGGAAATAGAAATAATATGTGGATATTTATACTTTGAATATAATCAGAAAATTATAAAATTGTGAAAAAATAATTTTTTTTAAATAATAAGTAATTCGGAGTAAAAAAAATACTTATATTATATTAAAAAAAAAAGCAACGAACACAATGTTAATCCAAGTGACAAGGTAATAAAAAGTTATTAACAATTTAATAATAAGAGTGCGTAATATCATATAAAAATAATGAACGTAGAGTTATTCAATAATTATATGATTTTTTGGTAAATATTTTGTTCTTTCTTCAAGTAATAGGTAAAATTCAAATATATTTAAAAATTCAGGATAAAATACTAATAATAATTCCCTTTGGCCTGAAGTTTTTTGACAAGGTTTGATCAATAATTATACGATTCATTTATCTTAATTTTTTTTATAGATTTTGCTAAAAGATATTAAGAAAAATGACGAGGTACTACAGTTGATTTTTTTTTTCAGCTTGACATAGTTATTTGAAAATTAGTTCTCAAGAATATCAAGCACTTCTTATAGAGTAGCAAGAAATGAATCATAAAAATGAGATCAATATCAAAAAAAAAAATTGTGAATAAAATAGTGTAAAGGTTGCATCGAGGAAATCAATTTTTTTTCTGGCAACATAAACTTCCACAATGCTATATGGAGAAAACTATTTTTTTTATACATAAATAGATGCTTCTTCGATAATCTATAAATGAAAATGAATTGACAAGAATAAGTCCTTTAATATTAATCTCAACAAATTAACGAAAAAGGTATTGCGAAAAATATAAAATATCAGAAAAATCATAAATAGACTACTAAGCATTTAGATATGAGTTAAAGCATAACCAATCTTTAAGAACTATTGTAAGAGGAGAATAGTCGATAAAAGTATTAAGTCAAGTGACAATCTATTAAAAATTTCACATGGTAAATTTTGGTCAATATTAATTAGCAATATAACAAAATTGGATATAAATTAATTTTTGAATTAAGTGTAAGTATTTATTAATCTGAATTAAAAGATAAAATATTTGAGTCAAGTCTCAAGCATCTTCAGTTTTTGAATTTCAATTAAAAAATATTCATTAGCAAATTAACCAATCTTTTGTTTCATAAAAGTAAAACTCTATTTTCTAGAATAATGAGAATAATTTTTCGAAAAATAATTGGTTTGTCTTCAACACAATCGTTTTCTAAATACATATTTTTAGGAACAAAACATATAAGAAAAGAATCTGCATATGGGTTAAAATTAAATAATGGCGTAGATCTTTTACTATCAAGAACTTCTAATATATATGTTTTTTGGAATAGTTCATTATTACATTTTGAATAAAGTATGACATCATAGAGTTTATCTGTTGGGTATACTGAAATAAATTAAGAAGATAGTTTAATTTTGTTAAAGTAATATAATCTCATGTGCTTAAACAAGTAAAATTATAATTTGCTATGATTAATATTTTAATGTGATCCGTCCATCGCACGGGTACTAATACTAGTATATATTAAACTTTGAATATCCTTAGCCAAATTCTTAACTTTGCAACTGGATAGGGACAATGTCAAACTCTATATCATAAGTCAACTTACAGATTTTGGCATTGTAAAAAGAGCAAAGAAAATGCCCACATTTCTTTGTTCTGTTTATTGTTTAGAAATAGTCAAATCTTTAACTAATTTGTGCTATCCCTCTTTATTATACTTTTATTGAGTATTTCTTATTCAAATTATTTTATCACCAGATAATGCCTCCCACTTTGTACTGATCAAGTCCTTCTTTGTACTTTGCTCTTTGCTTAGTGGGTAACCATGAAGCTATTACATTAATGTGCAAAATTATGTCACATTGCCTATAAAAATTAGAGCTCTCTACTCAAATATGCAAGACAAGTCTTAGTTCTATCTTTCCCTTTTCCAGCTATAGTTTGTTGCAAATCAAAATGACAAGCTTAGGGAAGTTGGGCCAATGGCCCTTACTAACAGCTGCTTTGGCAATTTGCTTAGTAGCCAGCACTGTTGTTGCTGATTACTCTTATGGCTATACTTATCCTTCTTACAACTCTAAGAAGTACTACAAATCACCATCTCCATCCAAGTATGAGGTACCCACTCCTTACTACAAGAAAACTGAGAAACCTGCTGCACATTCTCCGTCACACTACTATAAATCTCCAGCACCATCGAAGCACGACTATTACAAGTCGCCATCACCAATAAAATATTACAAATCGCACTTGCCAACAAAATATTACAAGTCGCCTGCTCCTTCAAAGCAATACTATAAGTCACCCGTTGTAGTGAAATATTACAAGTCACCCGCTCCCGTAACACATTATTACAAGTCGCCTGTTCCATCAAAATACTACTACAAGTCACCATCTCCTTCAAAACACTATTATAAGTCACCGGTTGCAAAGAAGTATTACAAGAAACATACTCCTTCAAAGTATTACTACAAGTCACCTGTTTCTTCAAAGAATTACTATAAGTCACCAGCTCCTTCAAAACACTACTACAAGACACCAGTTGCAACCATATATTACAAGTCACCCGCTCCCTCAAAGCATTATTACAAGTCACCTGCTCCCACAAAGTATTATTACAAGTCCCCAACTCCTTCAAAGTACTACTACAGGTCCCCGTCGCCAGCAAAGTACTACAAGTCGCCTACAACCTACAATTCACCACCTCCACCAAAAACCTATGAACAATCGCCATCGTATTACTCACCTCCACCACCAACTTACTATAAGCAAACACCTAACTACGCTTCACCTCCACCACCTTTGAAGTACGAGAAATCTGTCACCTATGATTCACCTCCACCACCTGTGAAGTACGAGCAAGCACCCACCTATGCTTCACCTCCACCACCTGTGAAGTACGAGCAAGCACCCACCTATGCTTCACCTCCACCACCTGTGAAGTACGAGCAAACACCCACTTACGCTTCACCTCCACCACCTGTGAAGTACGAGCAAACACCCACCTATGCTTCACCTTCCCCACCCACGTACTATAAGCAAACACCCACCTATGCTTCACCTCTACCACCTGTGAAGTACGAGCAGTTAGTCACCTATGCTTCACCTCCACCACCTGTGAAGTACGAGTAGTCAGTCACCTATGCTTCACCTCCACCGCCGTCAACATCTCCCCCACCAACCTACTACTAATATTCAACCCTTCTCTTCAATCATTTTCCATGTCTCCATGACTTATTCCTTTCATCCTCCTTCCCACCATAATTTTATGTATGTTCCCCAAAATGGTCGACTTTGCTTGCTGTGTGTTCTTTTATTTTAATAATTGTAATATTTATTATTTGAGTTTTAAGTAAGATCCTTGAGATCTCCATCAATTTGGCTTTATTATATCAAGATCCTTTTATTGGTGTAATTTATCAAAAATCTCCGGTTTATCTAATATTATTTCTTATCTATTGAATACTTTACTTTGCTCTTTACATATACCTCCTCGAGTCTGGACATTTAAGAGTATTATTTCTAGAGAATTTTATTCTCAAGAATGGTTGATTACCTACTAAAAAAGAAGAGAAAAAAGAAAAAAATATGGATGTTAGTCGAAAGGCGTGGTCATGGATCGAAAGAGCAGTAAAGTTTCTTCTTTGACTTATATTACAGAATTCTGGATTCTAATTGTACTTATCAGCTATTTAGGAAATAAAATTATATAAATAAATAGAATAAGAAAGAAATAAAGATATTTTTAAATCAGGCATCTGAATCATTTTTCCAATTCTTTTTCAAAAAGGAATTCTCTATGTTAAATATGTCAAAAGATATAACATAGTTATGAATGAGATAAGAAGTTAGTTAACTGAATAGTATTTTTTTACTACTCTTATGGAGTACATATATTGCTAATATCAGTGTTATTTTAAAAAGAATCAAGTAATACTCGACTAATAATATAAAATATACTAGGAGAATAAACTCAAGAAAATAAAATTTAAGTAAATAGTTACTGGAAATGTATTCAATAAACAAAAAACACCCGTAGCATTTAAATAACGCTTTGGTACCATCACTAATCACTGTACCCTTTGCTCCCTTCACTCTTCCCTCTGCGCAGCCTTAGGAGCCCCAACACCACAGCTACAGCCCCGCCGGCGAACCCAAATTACCAGTGCTACTTCCACTTGTACCCGCCGGCCGCTGATTCCGGCGCCGGTCGCCGCCAGTAGATGCTGCCTCGCTGCGCCCATGGCTTCCTCCTTACCAGTCTGTTTCTCTCTGTCTGTAAGTTATTTCCCTTCCTTTTCTACCTTTTTCGGCCGTCTTTTGAGTTATTTCAATTGTTGTAATCATTCGTTTGTCTCGAGCTTATTCCGAGATCCGTATTTTTTTTTCATTTGCACATTATCGTTGATAAATGTTTATCTAGACTGTACAGATTTGTTGTTGAGCTGGTAAAAGGGTAAAGGTAGTAGCTTTAAGTATTTTGGGTTGTTGTGAGGGTGGCTGAAAGGTTTCGTCTTGGCTTTTCTTGCTGTTTGAAGTGATCTTGATTTGAGAATTCTAATACTTAAACGTTTCACATTGGTAGATTCTAATGTAGGCTTCGCTCAATTTGGTAAGGTGTAATACTTTCGAGACCTAGGTTCCATTTGCGCTGCCAACAGTCTCCATTAGTTGGCAATGTCTATGTCAATGCAAGTCCTCTTTGAGGACTGTGGCATACTCTAGCCCTGGATTTAGGTTACCTAATCTTTTCTCTATTAACAACAACAACTATGCTTCAATCCCAATTAGTTGGGATCGGTTATATGGATCCTCATTAACCATTTCGCTTCCTATATGTCTTTTTCATTCCAATACTTAATAAATTTTCTTTAGGAAAAAATAAGGGTCCTACACCATTAAGGATTCTTTAAATTTCATACTTATCCCAACTCTGTCAGATAATCCGTTACCAAAATAAGAATAGTCACGTCAAACACCAGACCTAGTGTAAGTGTACCAATTGCGTTATGCAGCCCTGAGCTAGATGCGAAATATGTTTTGTGTGTTGCCTCGCTTAAGTGGCTTCAGTGTAGACACCTATATGGATATTATGCGTGTGTTATGTTCTTCACCAAGTTTGTTTGAATTCCAAGAGATTGTAGATCTTTCAATAGTACTTTCCTGCATATGATTTTTGGTCTACCTTGTTCCCCCTTAACACATTCAGTTATCAACTTATCATGTCGTTGTACCTGCATTCCGTGTCCGCGTAGGACATGATCAAACCATCTACGTTTACTATCACATGCAGCTTTTTCTTTTCTTTTTAGTCGCCTATATGTGTGCACCTTATACCTGATGTTGTGATTACTTCTAAACTTGTATGAGTACGTAAAGAAAAAATATAATCTTTAGGTACAGCCACTAATGCTTATGCGATATCTTTTTCTAATAGGTAATCGTAATTCATATGCTAATCTTAAAAAAGACCAATAGGAATTTGCTTTTCCTCAGAGAAGGATTGTTCTAATTGCGTTATGCATAGGTTATTGAATAATTAAACAATTTTTATATTAAGTATTAATGCAACATGAATTTGTTATTGTTCAATAAGCATTCACATAAACATAAAATTAGTAATAAATGATTTCAGAATTATTTATGCTTGTGAATAAGGGGATTGAAATACTTAGTGAAGAATTTGATTGAGTTATTAATATTTAATGAAATCTATGAAGAGATTACGTTTGATTTATCTTAATTGATGTCGTGCTTCTTTTTTCTTTCTTGTATGCAGAGAAAGTGATGGCTTGCTCACAATTGTTTCTTATTATCTTATATTCAAGGGACTAGCATGTATTCTGTAGCTCTTTTTGGTCAAAGAGTTATTCAGAGATTCTCTTATTTTAGCACCTTTTCACGGTTTTTATGTAATCGGCAATTTGACACTGATGGCACTGGAAATGGGTTTGGAAAAATCGAAGATTACTTGAATGAGAGCTGGAAGAGTATGAACTCCGATAATAATATGAAAGATAAGCCTGATATACAGGAGTCACCTGACTTTATTGGAATCAATGGCTGCTATGAAGGCGATTTCCAACAAAATTTTAGAAGTCGGCACAACTTTATTGAGAAAGTGAGAAACGAGGCTTGTATGATTCTTGAAATTCTTCAACAAGATGGTCCAGGATTTGATGCAAAAGAAGCTTTAGATAATTCACATATTACAGTTTCAAGCCTGCTTGTAAGAGAAGTTCTTCTAGGTATCTTGAAAATAATAAATTATGCGAATAAAAATAGGTGTGCGAAGCTGGGATACAAGTTCTTTGTATGGTCTGGTCAACAAGAAAGTTACCGGCATACGGAAAATTCGTACCATCTGATAATGAAGATTTTTGCAGAGTCTGAGGAATTCAAGGCAATGTGGAGATTAGTAGATGAGATGATTGAGAAAGGATACCCTACAACTGCTAGGACATTTAATTTGTTGATATGTACTTGTGGAGAGGCAGGTTTGGCTAGAAAAGTAGTAGAGAGGTTTATTAAGTCAAAGACATTCAATTATAGACCATTCAAGCATTCATTTAATGCAATTTTACATTCCCTTTTGGGTGTAAATCAGTACAGGTTAATTGAGTGGGTGTATCAGCAAATGTTGGTTGAAGGTCATCTTCCTGATATTTTAACTTATAACATACTGCTATGCTCAAAATATAGGCTGGGAAAGCTGGATCAATTTCATAGATTGTTAGATGAAATGGGTCGGAATGGATTTTCACCCGATTTTCATACATTTAACATCCTACTTCATGTTCTTGGTAAAGGAGACAAACCGCTAGCAGCACTCAACCTTCTAAACCACATGAAAGAAGTTGGTTGTGAACCAAGCATTCTGCATTTTACCACTTTGATAGATGGGTTAAGTCGGGCGAGTAATCTGGATGCATGCAAATACTTCTTTGAAGAGATGGTTAGGCAGGGTTGTGTGCCTGATGTTGTGTGTTACACTGTTATGATAACAGGATATGTTGTGGCTGGGGAACTTGATAAAGCACAGGAAATATTTAGTGACATGATCGTCAATGGGCAGTTGCCAAACGTGTTTACTTACAATGCCATGATTCGTGGGCTCTGTATGGCTGAGAAATTTGATGATGCATGCATGATGGTGAAGGAAATGGAATCGAGGGGTTGTAATCCAAATTTTATGGTGTATAGTACTTTAGTCAGTTACTTGAAAAAAGCTGGAAAGCTGTCCAAAGCTCATGAAGTAATAAGACATATGGTGGAAAAAGGGCAGTATATCCATCTCGTTCCAAAGTTCAAAAGATATAGAAGATGTTAAAGAGGTAACCAATGCAAAACCAAGCTGGTTAGAATGAAAATCGAATTTTTCTATCAACTTATTTTTGATTCTTCTTGGAGTTCTATAATATATTTGATGGACTGTTTGGAATGCAAAGTAACAAGGAAAATGAATTCCGTACGGGTTAAACTGCCTTTTATGTATAAGTGCTCTCAATATCATCCATTAGTTTTGTGTTTAAGCCTCCATGTTCTGATGTGGATTAGCTTTACCATAAACCAGGTAATATTGCCGCTGTTGGTGCTTGCAATTCGACTGGTGTCACGAGTTAGCAGGTCCATATCCCTCTACCATCTGCTGCAAAAGAGTAGCGGCCGAGGGAAAAGGTACCATATTTGTTTTATTTTTTATTTTTGGATCAGTAAGCAAATAGGGAAAAGATACCAGCTTTTTGAAGTTATCACTTGTTGGCATTCCAGTACCTGGTTTCTTTTTGGAAGTTTAATGGAACAAAATGCTTTGCTCACCTATGAATACGAGGGCACTTGTTGAATTAACCAATCAAAATAGACGATCATCTTTTATTACTTTTTAAACCCTTTCTCAAGTTGTTAATATCCTAGAATTCTCAATCCTTGGCTGTAGTACTACTTTACTGACCCCTTCCGATCCATCAGTAATACTAATGATCTCCATCTCATCACATGAATGTTACCTTACCCATTTTGAAAATATCTATACTTGTTTAAATGTGTTAGTGGTTGTCTGCCTCTGATTAGTTTTCCTAGATGTTCTTACATTAAAGTATGCTAAACTGTAATCTCAAAACATGTCACTGTTGTCTGTAGACATGGTTGCCAACTTGCCATTGTATGAGTTGATATGCCTTTTACATGAAAGAGCTTTGTAATCTTTGATATTTCTAGCACATGGTTCCTTCGTTAACCTAGCAGTTTTGGTTCTAATCCTTGTCTCCCAGAGTATGATTCCACCACCTAGCAGTTTTGGTTCTAAGATTGAGGCAAGGAATTAGGACGAAGTGTGTTGAACAGTATCTTCTGGCCCTTTATTAAGCAAACATATTTGGCTTTGATTCTCTTATATATACAACTCTCCCACACTCCAAACAATCGTTATTGGATTCTTTCTCATATTTCCTGAATGTGATTTTAAAACTTATTCAGCCATTGTTTTTCTGTCAATCTGTCACCCCTACAGTGCTCATCTTAATCTAGATAAAGGTTGCATGTTTCATATCTTTTCTCCGATTCTTTTGGTAGTGTGGAACTTAAACTGATAAAGGAGAGATAACTAACCAAACCCCGAAATACAGGCAACATGACACGGACAATACTGCAATATGCATCTTTGAGGACATGATTCTAATTGAGTGGTGGTGTTTCTTCCGTGCTTTTGCTCGTAGAACCTGATGATGGTAGGGTTTTTTGGGTGAGACATGGCAATAAAATGGGTAGAACATAACCTGCAAGCATCGTTCAATAAGGACTCACTGGATAAGGTAAAACTTCACAGTATTAGGCAGAGTGTATCCAAGTTTAGTACTTAGTAATATTGGCACAAACTCACTTCTTTTTTTTTAATATCCAGCAGCTGATTTTGACCTAAAGCAAAGAGAGCCAAGCCACAAGCTGTTAGATATAGCTCAGTCTTTGCCTTAAAGCCCAGGAATTCCAGCTTGCAAGCAGCCACTTCTGAACATCGAGAGCATCGAGACTCCTGCCTGCTCGTTCCAAAAACTAGGTACGCTCTCCTTGCCTGAACATATGATGATTGCAGCACTTAATACTATTCTCTTTGGTAGCCTGCTTTGAATTGTAAAGAGAAAAGATAGATATGATGTGACTGTACTTCGGATGTTTCAGTGGTTTTCACATTGTGATTGTTGTTAATGCCAGCAATCAATTCCTTTTATTGGTGTTAGGAATTGCTTCATAAGCTTGTAATGAGCATTCCATGGGTTTTAGTATTAGAACAGTTATTAAAGTAAATTGTATTTTGCAGATGAAGTGAAGTGCTCTGGATATGAGAAAAATTAAGCATTTAACCATGAGAGACCAGTGTTCAAATTCCAGCTGAGCCAAAAAATCGCTAGGTGACTGCTGCTCATCTATCTAAGCCTTGGTGAGCAAAGTTACTCGGTAGTGTACTAGTGGATGGTAGTAGGTAGCCGGTGGAATACTCAGCTGTCGAGATACGCAAGCTGGCTTGAACACCACAATTATCAACATAGAGGAAAAAAGAGAGAAGAAATATGCACTTGAAACACAAGAGGCCATAGAGAATTACAGTAGTAACTATGCGGTGAGAAGAATGACGAGAAAGATACTGTAATCGAGAGGTAAACTAGATGACGTTTCCTTGGCAACGACAATCTATTTTCTTCATCTAAGGGTAGGTCCTTAACGTGAGCTGTATAGTGTACTAATCCTTGATCACATCTGAGAATGTGTCAAGTGGACTGTTGTAGCCATGTCTTTGTATAGTGGTTGATTGGTTGAAGAGTTATGAACTAAGAAGGAAAGTATGAAAGAACGGAGCATGGTAAGGCAAAATGTACCAACTTCTTGTATCCTCTCCACTCTAACCAATTGACCTCGAAATTTTGTAGTGTAGGAAAATAATCTGGGAGCACTGTAGCTTACTGCATATATATAAGAAAGCTAGCATGTGCAGCCCCTGAAAAAACCTACTGTATTGTTTGGCTCTTCATGCAAAATGCTGAAAGTGGTCATTTTCTTCCATTCTTTTTCTTTTGCTTCAAGCTGGATATATCTAGATGGTTGATTAAGCAGCTTTTTACTAACAGATTCCTTTGAAATATATAGGTTCAGAATTTAAAAAGTAGAGGTACTGCACATGTTAATTTGACAGTTGCTTGATGGTAAAAAAAGGTTTTCTTAAATCGCTTAAGTGACTTTCTCAAAAATGTATAGTAGCTTGCTGAAACAAAAGTAGCTCATTGATTAACCAACTTTTACATGGATGTATGGTTTTATAGGTTCAATGATTAAAGGTAGGAGTTTTTACTGACTTGAAGTTGCTCAATGATTAAGCAGCTTCATTAAAACCTGCTTGTCAGCTAATGGTTCTTGTACACTTCAAATAAAACTTTTGAGTATCTAAATGGGCTTTCAATGTATAAAATTTTGTTTAGCCTTTCAAAGTTAATTTGAATTTTGCTCATATTTTATTTGACGGACACAAACTCTAGTTTGAGGAAAGATTGATTAAAGCTCAAATTATTACCTGAAATAAAATGGGAGTGGTAATTGCAAAGTTTGGGATAGAAACATAATTATTACAGCAAAAATAGAGTACCCTGTACTCCGTATCCACTATAAAATCAAATTACAAATTAATTTCAAGACATTTTATTCTTAACAAGAAGATAGTGTTCAAGGATTTATGAGAAAAAAAGATAGCTGTCTGGACACGACAAATATTAAGTTTTATGGTCTAAGTTGGCCATTTAATCTCTTAAACTGTGCTAATGCAGGCCAATGGATCTTATCAACTTGGTTAAATTATTTAAATAGTTCTAATTTACTTGGTTAAATGGATCTCATTTTATCTTCCCATTCAACATCCACTTTTGAGTGTCCACTTACCTCATAATGAAATTTTTAAAGCATGTAATGTCATAAGATCCGCATATACTCTTTGCTCAAAAAGGAATTCTCTATTTTTTTTCTTTCAAAATACCAAAAAGCTAACCTTACATATTTTGTCAACAAATTTTAATCCGATTTGAACATGTAATTTACTGGAAAAAGTCGTATGATGCTTGTTTGAACAATTTAAATAAAGTGGCACTTAAGTACAATCTCGAGGCACATTTATAAAATAGATTTCGAAAATAGAAGTAAGTTTTTTCTGAACATCCATCCAAATATTTTTCTTTCAATTTTCAAAAGTTTCTCTACAAAGTTGTTCAAACAACAAGATAAATGAATAATTTAATAGTTCAACTTGTGAATCAACGTAAAAGTAAGAAATTAAATTTGAATTAAAGAGAGTAATTGATTACTTTGTGCAAATATTTTTTTACTACCGTGTACATATTTCGGATAGGAGTACTATAATTACATTTTTTATTGAAGCAAAATTAGAAAGTTAAGGAAAAACAAAAGTAAGAGGGGGTAAAGTCGTCTTTTCAAACCAGAATAGAGAGTGGACTGTAGATCAAACAAAAGCAGATCCAACAAACCGGCTTTCCCTAGTTGGACACAAACACAAGATACAAAGCCGAACACGACAACAACAGAAGCAGCACTAGTTGAAGTGGGAGACAGTAGAGAAACCCGATTGAATCTCGCGAGAAAACTGATAAACCAATAGAAGAAGATGGTGACGAGAACAGAGGAAGAGGAGGTAAACAGATTGGAGAATCAAGTAGAGAATGGAGGAGGAGGTGCTTGGGAATATCTCTGCCTTGTCCATAAGCTCAAGCTCCGTCGATCTGATTTGGTGTTGAAGCACGGCCTCTCCATTCTCAATGACTCTAAAAAGAGATCTGCTCTTGGTCCTGAAGGTATAATACTACAATTTATCGATTCATATCCGATTGAACCATACAGCCGAAATCTTTTTGTTTGGTTTACTGATTTGATAGTTTAGGATTCAGGTAACTGGAATTTGACTACAACTTGGAAATTAGAGATCTTGTACTAATTTGGGTTGTCTAGGATTCAAGTTAATGGCAATTGGGTAATATTTGGGACCGGAAAAGCTGAGATTTTTTACACTGATTTGGGTAGTCTAAGATCGATCAAAGTGGAAAATTGAAGTATTGGTTCATGGAGAAGTTGAGATTTTGGGTTTTGGGATATCTCTCTTTTTTCTTTTTTGTTCTTTTTTTAATTTTTGTTTTTGATTGATTGCTCCATAGACTTTATTCCAACATAATGTGACTGGATAAAACCTCTGATCAATCTTTTATCCGCTGCAACCCAAAATATTGCAGAGTGGACTCTTTATGAGCAGGTAGCTGTTGCAGCTATGGATTGTCAGTCTCTTGATGTGGCAAAGGTAAAAAAAAATCTTTCTCGTAATCGCTCAGCCAAATTTGGTTACCTCTATAGACATGCATGATATTTCCATTGTAGTTTATTTTCGAATTCCCTGAGTTGCAGAATCCATGCTGATAGAACTTTCATCAAATAATCTGAAATTACATAGCTCATCTATTTTTACTCAGCAAAAGATTTCTAGAAGATGCTAAATGTCAATAGTCAGTACAATAATGTAAAATGTATCTCATAGTACCCGAGATCATAGCTATGAGTGGATTGTATGTAATATGTAGAGAAACATTCTGGCATAATCTAATATATAAAAGATGTCACTACAACTAAATGGTCAATGTTTATGCAAATTTAGAAAGATAGTTGTTAGACCGTTATTTCCTATAATGTTGCATAGATACATTTACCATTACTCCATTGGTAGAGTGATATTGGCTGATGATGTGGTTAAATATACTGAGTAATGAAGTGATTTGACCTTGTGGTCAACCATATTGGCCAGAATGCATTAGCTATTTTTCAAGTCATGTTCACTCTTTATTCTTATGTGTGGAATATTTTCTTGTGAAGCTGTCATCACTTTCTCTATGATTACGTGGAAAATTATTTGGAATTTATGTTATGAGAACTTCTGCAGGACTGCATAAAGGTATTGCAAAAGAAGTTTCCAGGGAGCAAAAGGGTTGGTGAGTTCTCTTTGGTCTATATATATATGTATGGTTGTAGTCTTGTATTCTTGTAGCTTGCACTTTCTTCAATTGTGGCCAGTGAGTTTGAATCACTAGATTGGTAAAGCTTCTATCTCTTGTTTCATGTATCACTCCTTAAGAGTATCCTGCACAAGCAAAGCATGAAACATAATTGTTAGAAGCTTGATACTGCATTATACACACACACACATTTGTTGTATAACGGGTGAAAAAAGTAAGAAGCTGCTATGAAATAAGAATTCTTATTGCCGGATTGAATGAATGATAATGACATTACTTTATATTTAGAAAAAATGATAATGACTTATAAGCACTAGCGTTGATATTATAAGGACCTGATGCTTTGCTGTTATGGCTTACATTTATAATGATCTACTGTGAATTACTCCTATTTCTTGTCCTGGGATTCTGGGTTATTGTTGACATATTGCTTTATAGGATTAAGGATTTTTTTTTATCTGGTTAAAGTAGCATATTACTTTTGATGAAGCTTTCTAAAGTAGTATTTTGAAATGAAAAAGAAAAAGCATTAGTTTAAATTTTAGTGTGATAAAGATTAAGTTTGAAATGAAAAGAAATTTTATTCTTTTAGTATTTTATTCTGGTAAATATTATTTTATTAATAGTACTATATTGAATGGTAATTCTCATGTTTTCTTATTTAATTAACATGTTATGGTGAAGGCTAAGAATTAGGACTTCTTAATTAGCTCAACAAAAAAATGTTTAATAACCAAAATTTTAGGTAATTTAAATATCCTAAATATTTGAAAAGTAACTTAAATTGCAATTATGTTTAATGTGAAATTTATTTTTAGAGGGTAAAAAAGGCGAACAACATTTCGCTAAGGGCCTTCATGCTTTTAATATAGTATAGATAGTCTGCTATTTGAATATATTCTGCAGCTCCCTTTCCATCTCATATTGGAAAGTACAAGTTCTATGCTACCATTGTAGCTATGAGCCAGGTAGTACTGGTAATGATCCATTTCAAGATGGTAGTTTAGTCTTAGTTTTGTTAAAGCGTTATGTAACATTATTGCCTTGATTTGATGATTGTATTTGTATATTTCTATCCCATTACAATGATCATCTGTTCACACTTAGATACCTTATGTTTAAGTGAGAAGTTATTGAAATGTTGTATGACCCCAGAAAGCTTTCTCGATATATCATCCTTTGCTGCAGTGACTATCAGTTTTGCTCTCAATCATTACATTATTACTGCCGAGAATTTAAAAAAATATTCGTTTAGCTATATAGATTTAAACGTTTTTTCCACTTACTGAGTATTTTTCCTACTTTGTGTAGTTCTGATTTCCTCCATGTGTACTTGGCCTTGTAATAATGGCTAAGAGTAATTAGTTTGATTTGTTCTCAGGTAGGCTAGAAGCTATGTTGCTAGAGGCCAGAGGATTGTGGTCAGAGGCAGAAAATGCTTACTCAAGCCTTTTGGAGGAAAATCCCTTTGATCAGGTCTGAGATAGACTAACCATTTCACCGACCGTTGTTAATTTGGCTCAATTAATTTGCTTGTGAAATACATAGTTTCCTATGTGGAAATGTGCCCTAAAATAGTGTGTTTCTCATGTGGGAAGGCTGGTCTAATGGAACAGTAGATACTCATTGTTATTGCTCAAAGTGGTTTGCGTGCCTCTGGTAAAGCGTGCTTGAGGTGTGATTAAGCATTCAAGCTAGTCGTAGCATTGGATGGGTGCTTATCCTTGCTTAGATGGCTTTTTAGTGCGGGTGCCAAGGTCATGAGGCATGCACCTTATGGCATAGATTGTTTTGAAGAGGTTGACACTAGGTGTTTGGACATACATAGTATTTGCAAATACTGCAATATCATTTACAAATCAATATTTGTTTACAATTTTGCCCATTATTTCTATTTCAACTAGAAATGGAGAAATTGAAGTTGAAAAATTGGTTTACTAAGTATTTCAAGTGAAATAATGGTTTTAACTTATAAACTTCAACATTTTTTCCAAGTGAACTTCATGT